CAATTTCCTTGAGGGGCTTCCTTTTGTGTGTGTGTGTGTGTGTGTGTGTGTGTGTGTGCCTCTTTACCAGAGTTCAGTAGGTGACCACCAGTCAGGATCAGTAAACAGTAAGGATACAGTTGTTGGTCCACAGCAACCCCTCTGCTCAAACCCCTAGCATAAGGTGACCAGATATAAAGCGGGACACCATTGACCAGGGTGGGGGTGGGGGGGTGTTCTTGATTAAAAATTTGGTCTATATGGACCAAATAGACCGTTCCCTAGCTTGTCGTGCATTCTTTCCAAAAATCGGGACTTTTTTAAAACGCCAAAAATCGAGACTGTCCTGCCAAAAATGGGACGTCTGGTCACCTTACCCTAGCAGCCAAATCTCTCTTCTGTCCTCGGTCTCAGCTACCCGATCCCTTGACTTCTGCCTCTGTGCTCCTGGAAAGCAGCCTGTCCTTCTACCCCAGTCTCATAGTCTAAGTGCTGCTCCTCTTGCTCCGTCCTATAGTCTCTGTGCCTCTGGTCTCAGCCTCCACCACTTCAGACAGATCTGGAATGTGCTCTTCTGATGGTCCTGGGCTTGCTTTCTCTGCTGCTTCTTCAAAGATGACTCATCCTTATAGTCAGGGTGACTATAATCCCCTCTCTTAGTGATACACACACACTATTTGCATGTTGTCGTTGGTGGGTGCCAACTCATAGTTACCTTATGCACAACAGAACAAACTAAGGCCCGGTCCTGCACTCACAGTTATTCATATGTTTGAGCCCATTGTTGCAGGCACTGTGTCAATCCATCTCTTTGAGAGCCTGCCTCTTTTTTGCTGCCCCTATACTTGACCAAGCACGATGACCTTCTCCAGGTGCTGGTCTCTTGTCTGACTCAGAGTGACCATGTAGAACAGAATAGAACGCTCCCTATGGATTTCCAAGACTTAACTCTTTACAGGGGTAGAAAGCCTCATCTTTCTCCTCGAAGAGTGGCTGGTGGTTTTGAACTGCTGACTTGCAGTTGTAGGCAAACCTGTAACCACTATGCCACCAGGGCCCCTTTTACCTACAATGCCATATTATTATTATGTAAAACCAAGACATGCTAAGCGTGGCTGACCCTCACAAGACAGACACACCAGGCCCCAGGCTGTAGGAGTGCTATTCTTTGGACTATCTAAAACAGAACCAGAGGAACAGGAAACATTATGGTCCCAGGAGAATGGGGCAGAGTGCACCCTCAGTGGGTTTGGGGTGTTCTTCGGGGCTGGTGAGATGTCTGGAAAGGGGGTGCTGGGTTGTCCAGCAATGTCCATTGCTGGTGCTTCTGCCTAGCAGCTCACTTTAAGAAGGCTGGTGGTTTATTCCGAACGCACCATAGAAGATTGGAGAGACTGTCTCCCGCACTTTGGCCACATGATCAGGAGGGGCCTGTCAATAGAAAGGGGCATCGTGCTTGGTAATGTAAAAAAAAGAGCCCTGGAAGAGATGGCTGAGTTAGCGGTTGCCACACTGTGCCCAATCAGGACACAGGCAGTGAATTATGCTCATTTAATGTGGCCTTTCTGGCCAAGGTCTCTAACTCCCACCAAACAACCTTGCCCTCCGGGGGAGTCAGGTAAGAAGGTGGAGGGAAGATA